ATTGATTTCTTTGTTGAAACTATCCTCCATCTTAGTTAAGTTTCCCATTTCAACAGTTGATAAGTCAAGAATTAGAACGAGATGTTTATTAGCCCAGCTTGTAGGATTTTTCCCAATGTCAAGGTCCCCAAATAGCGACTGGAAACTGTTCTTAGTGTGAACGTCATAGTAAGCAGCAAGCGTGCTGATCAAAGTTGATTTCCCGAATTGTCGTGGACGAAGAAACAGAATTTTGTAATCTGGTTGAGCCTCAAGTAATCTAATGTAATTTGTTTTGTCACAGAAAAATCTGTTGGGCATATTTCGGAATGCTTGGAAGTTGGAGGTACTATGGGGAACATTTGGAGGAGGCTTCCAAACATTCCAATACTAGGATTAGCTTCCAATTAGAATATATAGGCAAAGTCAGTTCCATGAACATACCTCCTGTATTGAATTATCTTCTACTACTGTTTTGAACATATGGGTCCCAGGTATGCTCATGACGCGAAGATACTTGGTAGCATTATGCTCGCCTTCTTTTTCTCGACTCCTTTTTGTAGTTTGCGAAACTGATATTTAAAAAGAATGATAAAAAGTGAACAGACCAAAACGAAAAAAAGCAGTGCACGACATTCGAGACACAAGTCGAAAACATTGCAAGCATTAAGGACAGTATCAGTCAAAAAAAGACACTAAGGATGAGCAGACTATACTCCTATTAATATAACTATTCTACCCTATGTACACACTACCCTATGTCTCCAACACCCGAGTCACAAGTTGCGTTACCTGGCTGGGCGACCAAAGCATCACCCCACTTCCTTTTTTCCTCCATCCAGAAGCTCTCCTGTCCCTCCAGCATATTTCTCTCCCCTTGGTACTCTTCCTCTGCACCTTTCCTCAGCGCCTCTAACCTGTCCAGTTTCTCGTTAGCTCGATCCAACTCGTTTTGCATGTGAGCGGCGTCCATGTCTGGAGGTGAAGTAGTAGTAGTAGCTGTGGTTGCGACGTGGATTCTAATATACTGACGCGATCAGTGGCTTAATCAATGACGTAATAGGAACTTTCTAGACCTTTTCACAATGTAACTATTATTCCGCTATGCAGAATGTGACCAATGATAATCAATGCAGTGTATGATGATATTTTATTATGCGCGCTGGTTAACTTACTTCAGAAATCAACCACAACGCAATAAATATCGTTGAAATAATCTGTCAATAACACTACGAAAAATGCTTACATTTACAAGCGAATTCTTGTTGGAGTACTTATTGGCTTCGCTCTGTGGTTAAATGGCATACTTTGTAATGGTCGGCCTAATAATACGAGAGCTTTAATTCAAACGATGAAGTTACAATCCATAACAAAACTGTCAGCGACGAACAAAATTTACTCGCCAGAAATCTAAACGTTGTGGAATAATCTAAATGTTCACTTTGTCTGGTTTTGTTGCAGCATGCCCCATCTATAAACGATAAATGTATGAGCATTCACTATGGCAGATATTCAGTATGCTAATCTTGATATGCTGAACCTAAGTTACTGCAGCGACATACGATTGCATACGTTTGCTCATGATGTTTATACAGTTCGCGATCAATGAAGAGTATATTATCAATGATACTAATCTTCCGAGAACATCATACAAAACTTTACATTATAACTATGCACAACGTATGTTGTTTAGCAAAAAAAAAAAAAAAAAAAGCCCCGTGCGTCTTAGTCAATATATCATATACGCGTAATAGTAAAAACATCACACCACTGTTCCTGAGCAAGCGAAAAGATCAGAATCATGTTCTGTTTACTATTTGTGGCATCGTAGACTAGCGAAAGACAATCCATGCTTTGTCAAGAGAAAAAAGGGATTCAGGCACAATTCGGGACGCTTCCTTACATGGCGTCATATAAAAAGCGACATACTAAAATCAATAAAAGAACGGTTAAATCTGTCACGATTCCTAGCAAAGTAATGCAAGTCTGGGTAACTGAGGCAAAAACATTGAAGCTTGCCTTTTCGATTATAATGGATACAGACAACCATAAAGTTCTGGTAAAACTTAAGAGAGCAAAGTCGTCTTCTAACTGAGGTAAATTTGAAATTCTTATTAACACTAAGTAGATTACTTTAACACGAACAATTTTTAGGTATTCCCTGAGGATTTTTCCAATTTGCCAAATCTCCACTTAAACGTTCATTTATCCCAACATACAAAAAATTTTGCAACTCTTGCCAATACATCGGTAGGGGTAAAAAGAAATGGTGCACCGCATATTCAAAGGGGTTGTAGGGCACACGAACCATAAGAATGTCGAAATGGATCTGATGAAAAGATACAACACTATTCAATCACTTCGACATTTAGTGGATGACGCGATTCCCAAATAGAAAGTGGATCGCACAAGTACCATCCAAGGAATTGCTGCGTAAATTATTATCTAACTGGTATGCAACTGAGGAACCCTTATCAGAGGAAAATACAGATGTTGAAGGTTAATAAATTTTATTATTTTAAGAAACTCCTGCTATATCACATGATCCTTATTTTGTAAATTAAAATATAAGATTAGCAAAAAATGGAGTTTTACACAAATAGATAAAGCGGGTTTCAAAAAGAAGTTAGATATAGCAATCCTTTGCATTGTCATCTTTCTGCAGCATATTCAGATGATATGGGTACGAAGGGGATGTTAGTTAACAATCGCCTGGAATTTTATGATTACATTTTATATGACGTTCTGGATGGTGAAAAGGCTAAAGAACGGGTAATGCTCGAGTAGGGGATGTGATTGACATAGAAGAAGAGGAAGCTTTTGCGCAATTTTGTGTCATATGGCGAATAACACAAACAGATATGTATTTCTAATAATCGACTGGTTTCAGGCAACTGGTAATAAGGATGAATTGTTGGAATGTCCATATTATAAGCTGCATGACCCAGAGGGAATGCAATGGCGACGTATTTACCCAATATCATTTGCGGACCATGCTTCCATTGCACTCGGCACTGTACAAATGTGCATGATAGAAACAATCAACTTTATCTTCGAAACGACTTTTTTATAACACAGTATAGATCATTTAATTTTAACAAGCACATATACGAGCAATGTATATTATCGTATTAGTAAACAATACAACAGCTGATTGTATTAACGATATACATGTTCTGGCCCGTTGCGAAATCCAGCCCGATTCGCAATAGGCACATTGTCTAATATCACAACCAATAAGCGACATC